GCAGGAGCAAAACAGTTCAAGTGAAGAGGACTGCTCATTAAACTAGATCATGGTGAAGAAGTGTTTCCTCTGCATGTTCAAGTGGAGAGGACTGCTCATTAAACTAGATCATGGTGAAGAAGTGTTTCCTCTGCGTGCTCTTAGTGATCCTTGGGGACTAAGACTGATGACAGAAGACAACCCAGAGCTTTGGGTTCCTCTCTTCTCAGGAGTTCCAGGTAGAGGAGAACCCCAAGTGTGTAGGACTGTGAGAGAACTGGTTACTCCTCTTAGCCAGTGATACACTGTTTTTAAAAGCAGCTTAAACTGATTTATTTTGGATCAGTTCGAGAGGGTTACAGTTTATCATGGTGGTAGACTGTGGCAGCTGTGGTTGCTTGGGATATATGAGGCAGCTGGTTCCATTGTGTTTGTAAGGAAGCAGAGAGCTTGAGGTAAGGATGCAGGCTGGGCAATACCTTGCTAGCTCCTCTTCTAGGGACCTGTACCTGCCAACTAGATCCCATGGCCAAAAGGTTCCACACTTTACAAGGCAGCACCACAAGTTGGGGAACCACATTGTTCAAACACACGAATCTGTGGGGATTTATCTATTTCATATTCAAATAATAACAGGGAGTGAGACAGTTATCTTCCAAAAGACTGGATGTAATCAAGTAAACATGTTCCTTTACTGAAAGTTGCTTCAATTAGGATTTGGTCTGAGCCAGTTAGAAGCAGGATAGAAGCTTAGAAATAGATTGTCATCCAAAGTGACCTTATAGCTAGGCTAGTGGTATGGCTCAGTTGTAGTGTTTGGCATGCATGAGGCCTTGTGTTAATCATTGGTGAGGTGGGTGAAGAGAGAGGAGGGTTATGACTGGGTAAGAGCCAACCCTCTGACAGGTCCAGAACTGGAATGAGGGCTCTCATCTTATTCCCAACTTACAGAGTCCTGAAGACATAGAACACTTTGGAACTCAAATCCAACCCATGTAAAATTGTTTATTCTCATTATATTAAGATGATTGCTCTAGACAGAAAAGGATCTGGACACATGTATATGCAAATAAGAGGGACAGCAATTTGAATGGATGTGTTTGTTGTCTTGCTATTATAATAAACTATACTAATAAGAGTAATAATTATGGTGTGGGCTGGGACTGTATCTCAGTGCAGAAAACTTGCCTAGCAAGCACAGGCTTTGACTTTCAAGACTGGGAAAAATGACTCATGACAAGGAAATTATAGCTCAGTCATGAACTATTACTATCAGAATCTCTGGTTCTCATTGAGTTCAATGTCACATTTTTAGGGGGGATGAATCCATATGAATTTCAATGAGAATAAAATTTTTCTTGTTTATTGTCACACAATGGCAAACACACATCACACCTAGAAACTTCAAATGGAAATAAAGGTAAGTTAGGAAACAAAACAAATCTTCTAAACACCCTTTAAAAGCCATTACTAGTGACTTGAAAGACAGGTTTAAAAGTTTTTCGTGGGTTAAACTTAGAACGAAACATCTCAGTTACCTCTTTTGTATAATACACTCAGCCTACATAAGCACAAGTCTGCCTTGGTTGCTCCATCTCTTGGTACTGGCTCTGGAAAAGCCAGTGGCTATAATTTAAGGGCATCCATCTGCCCCAAAGAGAAACCCATGTTGTCAAGAACACTATAGTGGCCGATGAGGAAGCCAGGGTGTCAGCTAGCAGCTGAAGGGTAAGCTATCTTCAGTCAGGCCCTCTTAGCTGTGCTCAAATCTGTGAATGACTGCTACTGCGCCTTATGAGGAGGCAGGGTCATGTCAACCTGCTTGTGGAATCTTGACCACCATAGCTGCATAACAAAAGCTGCTAACTTTCATTATGCAGAAATAAATAACAGATTCTATGCCTAAGGATCAGCTTCCTTCTGCAGGAGAGCTAAACAGAAATGAGGATGAGGGGCAAAGAAAAGTAAACTGTGCTTTGGCCATTGCCACCTGTTCTTCCAGGCACATCTAGATTCTTTTACACATAGGCCCGTGGGCACGCCCTGGCTCGGCACTCTACATTTATTCTGAATGTCACAGAGAATGGGGTTGCTTTAGTTCTAGGGATGGATATTATTGTCTTTGAACTGGAGTATCTAATGATGAGAAAAGAAATCACGAGACTTTCTGAGAGGCTAGGATTTTTCTGTGGAATGGGATGGGGGCCTCAGCCTCTTTTGGGTTGAGATTTAAAGTTTTGTTTATTATTATTATTATTTTAATCCCCACACACTAAAGTATGAAAATTAGTATTTAATTTTTCTACTAATTTTTTTATGAAACATTGGAAGAAAAGAAAAATAAGAATCCATTTATTTCAGTCTGTTTCTCTTTCCATCTTACAATCTTGCAATAACTTTAGCAAGACACACGAAAAATAATGGCATATACAAAGCATTGCCTAAGTGCATCCATCATAGACATAGATAAAACCTGTGTCTGAAAATGGTTTTCTAAATAGAAGAAGTGTGTTTCATACAAAAAGTCCATTTTCTGTTATTGCCTTTTTGATTTGGACTACTAGATGCTATACATTTTAAGGCAATTTTAATGGTTTCTTGTCTCGTGCTAACAAGAAGGACTTGTCATAATGAGCAGTGTAGACACTGTCCATTTGATCTACTCTAGAGAGCTGTCTATTTGATACAGACCAAATTGCCTCCATTCCTTTGTAGAATGAACTGAGTACAAATACGTAAGACATAAGAATAAAAAAAATGTGGCCAGTTCTATCTGAAGGCAACAAAAGATTGGGATATCTAGAGGCTCTTAATAAAAAAGTGACAAGACAGAGAATTATATAAGACTAGAGTAAAGGGAGGAGTAATTTTTCCCAACATAAACTGTCCACAGAATAGTTTCTTATTTAGGAAAGTGGGTGATTGTGTGGTTTAATAACAGTTCTTAATTCTTTAAAGTCAGAAGAATGAAATCCATTTTTAACTCCACAAAAAATTTAATTTTCAGCACTCTTTTTTATCATTTATCACATTGGTCAGCTAGGTAGGAATTTTGGATCCCATTTTGGCTAAATAGACACTTTGAATGTATCTTTGTTGGTTATTATTTTACATGTTTTACTTGAATGGTTAGGTTTTTGTCTTTACTGTTTTGTAAGACATGGGCACCTAAATATTCTATTTTTTCCTTTTAGAATCAGTGCCTGGTATTGTTCCTTTGAGAATTATGTAAGTGTCAAAGTGCATTTTGACTATTCACTTTTACGAGTACTATCTGAGGAAAACTGGTATGTATTCACTTGGTGCTGGGAATTGTACATGCTAAGTATATGTTTTGATCTACCCTCTAACCCTGACATTTTTTTTTTTTGATGAAATGTTCATAATAGCGCTATTATTCTAAACATAGGCTTAGGATTCCAGCTGGGGATGACACTTAACTACAACTTTTCCTCTGTAAAAATTAGTAAATAGTAGTGAAATGCTTCTCAAAATCAGATCTCAACACAGCTTACATTTGTCTACTAGAGACTGTTTTTCATTTAATCAGAATCTCTGGGGTAGGACTTGAGAATTCACACCTTAGCAGTTTCTCTCTGTGAGTCTAAGGCTGATTAAAATAGAAGGAACGTTGGTCTAAAGAAAGCTGGAGGTAGGGATGAGGGGGGGAGGGGGGGAGATTGGGTATAGTAACCCATGCCTTTAATCCTAGCACTCATGAGGTAGAAGCAGGCAGATCTCTGTGAGTTCAAGGCCAGCCTGGTTTACATAGTGAGTTCTAGGATGGCCAGAACTACATAGTGAGATCCTGTCTTGAAAATAAAACAAAATTTAAAAAGGAAGCTGGAGTGTACAGGAATAAGCAATTTATATTTTGACTGGAACTTTGACGCAACGTTCAAAGTACAACAGTAGTACCTAGGAGAAATAATAAACTAAAGCCATGGTCTCTAACAAGAGAAATGTGGGTGAGGTGGTGTTTATATGCCATTTTGAAAACGACGTGCCAAAAGACAGATGGACCGCGCACCTTGGGGCATGTCAGCAGCCACTGTTCCAAGCATGAATTCACCCAGGAAGTACACGGGGACACTCATGATGTTCTGCTTAGTCAGTTTCTACTTGAGGACTCCTATCAGCCTCTTCCGTATTCTTCGGTGACTTTGGTAGCTTCATTTTCCTTGATAACAAGTATGTCTACACCATAGGCTTTAACTGATTTTAAAAGTTAATGACACTTGAATGTTATCATTTACACACACACACAATTTTAAAGATTCTAATGGAGCCAGAACTTGTCTTCTTGGGGTTTAAGGCAGAAGGCCCATCTTTGCTGACTAAGTTAAAGAAAACAGATTTTACATATTTATTCTCCTGCTCACTACCAGCAATTAAAAAATAACTTACAGATGGACACCGGTACAGGTAGATTACTAGTAGTACCAGTTTAGCTTTCTGGGAGCCCTCCACATAAAAGGCTAATGTCTAGGACTTTCATGCGAGCTAGGGAAATCTTTCACTCCAAGAATAGGTAGAAAAGTACCGTGAGGGCCAATCAGAACGCTCCGCCGTTTTAGGACTGGCGGAAAATGGGACTTTGTTACCTTCATCCAGTCGGACAAAGGAGGCCATGCTAGTGGGGTGGTGGAAACTTCCTGGTGGGTTACCAGACAAGGGGTTTAAACCTTGGTGGGGACGACCACTGATCAGACGATCCCTAAGCAGGAAAGCGTGGAGGCACTGCGGAGACGTTATTTTCCGGAATCCTGGAGACAAGAGTGAGGCGTGGCAGCGGTACCAGCACCAAAAATGGCGCGGACGCACTTCAAGGCCCGGTCAGGTGACAGGGGTCCAATCCGCTGCCTTCCCTCTGCGGCCCCGCCCCTATCGCCCCTCCACGGGAGGGCGTGGCCTGCCCGGAGGAGATGTGGGCGTGGCCTGCCCGGAGGCGCAAGAGTTACGCAAGCGCAGTCGGGCTCCAAGGCCCGTCCTCCCCGCCCCCTCGCCCATGGCCCCGCCCCGTCCTCCCGGGAGGGGCAGGGCCCGGCGTCCAGCGACTGCTGGCTGGAGAGCCATTGACTTCCTTGTTGTGAGTCTCGGCCTGGCAGTGTCCCTGCTCGTAGCCTCGCTGTGCTCACCCGGACGGCTAGCGGGAGTCTAGGACCCAGCCACGGCCATGGCCAACCCCAGCAGCACGTCCTGTCCCGGCCCCCTCCCTGAGGAAATTAGGAACCTGTTGGCAGGTAAAAAGCGGGAAGGGGGCGGTGACACTGGGGGCGGGGGCGCGGGACGGCGAGCCGGTAGGGACAGAAGCTCTCAGCATTCACCTGCCCGCCTTGGGGACGTGCCGAGTAGGGGGAATCAGGGTGCCAAGGTGCCGGGACGAGAAGGGAGTGGGCGTGTATGCCGAAACGCGCTGGTCCTCCCCTGAGAGTCGGCGAGTTAGGAGTTTCCTAAAGACCCGAATGTGAGGGCGGGAGAGGGACAGTGAATGTTGTTGAATGTATGTGTGAGAACTGCGCAGGCAGATTAGGTGTCCAGCACTATTTCCTGGGTGGCCGGGCCAGTAGGGGTGCAGCTGTTAGCAAGGACACTGTAGGGCTGCAGGTGTTGGGAGGTAGGCAGTGAAAAGGTGCTATTTCCAAAAGATCTTGAACAGTCAGTTCAAACATGTTTACATTTTTTGAAGTGTGCCTGATTTTCAAATGGCCACTGCCTCCAGCCTCAATAACTATTAAAGCGAAAAAGGAAGGATGTGTTAAAAGTCCTACTTCCTGTGTCATGTGATGAAAGAACGTCGTCTTTTGCACCCTCATCTTCCCCTTTTCAGTCTTACATTCCCATTTATAGGAACTTTGAAGAGTTGAAATATGGTTCCCAGTGCTACTATGAATCTACTGTCAGTAATGTGTGGAGGTGTGTATTTCCACCTAAGGATCAAGGGAAGCTCTACTGTTCTGTACAAAGTAGCGAATACCCCTTTTTAGAGGAGCACAAGACTTTCCTATCCTGATGGTCTTAGATACCATCATACACTTTGTCTTACAGATGTCAGAATTCTGGAAATGGAATACTTTTAGTTTGGTTGTCTCTAAAATATTTCTTCCAATACTGATCGTGGATAACTGAATTAAAAAGTTTCTCCTAGATGTTTATGTTGTAAGTTGTGTACTTTAATTGTTAAAAAACAAGGTCACTTAAAATGTAACAATTGAAATAATAAGTTACTGTTGCAATAGTGTGAGGGCAAGCATCATAATACCAGGTTAAATTGTCGGGTTGTGTGCATCATGAAGGTGATGGAAAAATGCCAGTCCATGTATGGATGCAGACTTGTGTTTATATATACATGGTGCAGGGTGATGATGGTGTATGCCACTCTGAGAAATGCTTCTTGTCACTAATGAGTGCCACCAAGAGAAATGATGAAAGACTTATAGATGCTGATATAAGGAAGCGTGTTTTTCATTATATGAGCACTTATAGGACTTTCAGTTTTGTTTTACTATAGTTAACTTTTTTGGGGGGGATCCAATTCTGGAATTGCATGTTTAGAAAAGTATCTTAATAACTAGATCAGAAAAAAATGTTTTATTCCAGAAATGTCATTGATTCCAGGTCCATTCTTTTTTAGTTTAAAAATAACTCTGTTTAGCTTTTTAAACCTGCCATCTCCCTTAGTAGCAAGTTATCATATGGATTCACAACTATACTTCTGGCATAGTATGTATGCTATGTGAACTATGAGATCCATCATTCTCTGACCCTCATAGATTACAAGTATTTTCTGTGTGACTCTCTCTTGTATCATGCAAACCAAAGCTCAGAATTACACATTTATCTGCTGCTGCTAACTTTCTGTGTATTTCTGCCATCTGTTAAGTAAGAGGTTGTACTAGCACTGTTTTTGGAATAAGCTTTTTATAAGATACATGAGGGATTAAATAAATATTAAAAAGTTTGCATTACATTTTATTTTTAGAAGATCATCATGGATACAGTATATAGTAAAGGAATTAAACAAGTGAGCTAGCCTTCTTCATGGCTTAAGACAACTTTTAAGTGTTCAAAGGTGGTTGTTAAGATTTTATGTTTAATTAACATCTTTAGACTAAATGCTCTAAGAAGTTATGTCACCCTTGAATCTTATTGGGATGCATGTTGATGATTCTATCACTCAAGTGTTTTGGGTGATAGTGCATGATTAAATATAGAATTATAAAATTAGAGCAAAGTGTTTTAATTGATTGTGCTTTAGAGATACTGCTGACTTACTTAGTGCATTCTTTTTTTAAATTGAAGAAGAGATACTGATCTTGGTACTTGTAAGTAGTTAAGGCTCTTAAAATTTGTGGCACAGTGTGAATTAGATAAGGAACCAACCTTTACAAGAATTTAAAATCCTCTGTTTTCAGAAGGAAGAAAAATGACATTTCACTTTGTTTCATACCTCATTATCTGAGTCATCCTATGTCATCCATGTTCAGTATTTGCTTGATGGAGATAGGTGCTCAAATGTATTTTTTTTGTAATCATGTTTTTTCTTTTTGTCATTGTTTTGCTTTCTGATAGTAGCTTTAGACTACCAATTCAATATTTGTCCCCTCCTTATTTCTTTCATCTTTAAAAACACTGTATGGGAATGCAAAACTAAAGTTACTATTCTTAATACACAGTTAATAATATCCTTGAAAAAATGACTGAATAGTTTAAACAGTTACAGTTTCTATAGCAAGCATCAATTCACTAAAAATTGAAGGCCTATATTTTTTTAAAATAAGAAATGTTCAATTCTTCTTTTTAGAACAGTTTATATAACATTTTGTTGAATCAACCTTTGACCCCCCCCTCCCCAACAATGGAAGAACAGGTTTATCTTGGATGATTAAAACCAAAGGATAGACCCAAGACTTGGCCATTTAATCTTACCCTATACCCAAATATTTTGACTAGGACTAATAGCAAAAATGGTCTTGATTTATGTGAGTTCTCCTCTGCCAGGCAAGAAGGTGAGCAGCTCTGGGAGTGCTGCCTGCTGCTCTCATTTGTTTAATTACCCTTTAAATGTGGGTTTGTCAGTAGTTTGCAATCAAATATTTAGACTCCTCATCTATTCATATCATGACAACACATTTTAAAAGGAAAACTGGAAGAGCATATTATCTTCTTCATAAATTAGCAAATAAAACCAATATTATGAGAAAATAGCTATCAGTGTGCTGAAAAACTAAAATCAAACCGAACAAACCATAACAAAGTGACTATATGATTTCAGCAAGGTGACCTTGAGAAATTGTTCAGATGGCAGTTTTGATTAGAAATATTGCCCTCCCACCCATTGGGGATTCCCAGAACATTTTTTTTCTTTAAACCTTCACACAGTGTAATCGATAATTCCTTTAGGGGCACTTGATTAAGAATGCAATTCAGGTGAAACTGAGGTAGGATGTTTTTAATGCCAGGTACAGTATGGTTTGCTTCCACCTTTCCAATTCCTATTAATAATTTGGTCATCATTTTGGTTTTATTTTCTGTCTGAGAATAATTTATGGTATATCTTGTGTTCCTTCTGGAGCATTGGCTGAGTATGCAAAGGGAAGAGTGCCACCTACTGAGTCACCAATAGTCACCTACTTCTTAGTACCTGGATTATCCAACAGAGCAAGAGCAAGCCTGCCCCATTTTGGCAGTAGCAACTAATGAGTATAAAGTTGATAAGAGAACATTTGATCTGAAAGTGAAATCAGCCTAAGGCATCTCTGAAATAGGGATAGGAGTTTGCAAATCAAGGGACCAGAATTTTATCAGGATTTTGTCTGGCTCAAGTAGTATCTGTAAACGAAGGTGCAGTATTGGGAAATTTATTTATCTATTATCTTATGAGTAAAATGCCTTCTTTTCCCTTGCTGGGGGCTATTTTCGAATGGCTTTACATTGAAAGTATTTTTGCCTTGGATTGCTAAGTAAATCCTTGGTGTAATGATCATTTAAATAGTTAATCTAATCTTAATCAGCATTAGTTTCTTTCAAAACATCTAAATGTCCCTAAAAAATGAGCAGACTGAAGCTTTCCAAGTATGTTTATCTCTGCTGATACGTGCTCGCCTTGACGTACTTGTAGAAAGAAGGTAAGGATGCCAGCAGAAGGAAAGCCTCTGGTGATTTGAAACCCAGTTCAGTTGTCTCTCATAAATTGAACATTAAGTGTCGTATATGGGTGATAAAAGTGGCATAGGCTAGGTTTTATACACTCATTATTCATTTAGTTTGTCTTTTTCAATTAAAGCCAAGTCTATCTTTTTCATTCCACTGAGTTTACATTTCTTTTTCAATCACATTCTGAACACATTACAATAGATGCTACCCAACAGATGTACTGTAAATCTCAGACTAATGTGTTACTTACTGTGGCTTCTTTGAAAATGTGTGGTGAAAAGGTTTTGATTAGATAAATCTAAAGAGGTTGAAAGATGGCCAGACTTATCTTTCACCGTCGGCTTTTTATCAAAGTAAGCCATTTATTGCATAAAGCCAGTTTTGAGAATTTTGTAGCTGATTGGATTACAAAACACAGATAGGCTTGTGATCTGTGCTCCTTCATGTCTCTTTCCATGTTTAGGAGGCCCACAGTTCAGCTGTAACATGGGAAAGTGCAAGGTAATCCAGGGGAAGGCATTGACTAGAACAATCAATAACTTTTCAATTAGCCATTTTCCAACTTTGGGTATTTGGCTCCATTGATCTGCATGTGCCCAGCTTAATTGATTTTTATATTTTCCCCAGTAGCTTTTGGTCAGTGCTTTCCCTTGTTTAACAGAAAAGAAAGTGTTGTTCTGTTCTGATGGCAGCTGAAAGTGTAGGCTTTGTTGATGTGTTAGGTTGGATGACTGACAGCTCAAAGAACACAAAGTAAAACCTGGTTCACACCATAAGGTAGGAAAACATCTGGAATTAAGTAGTAAAGCCATTTGGGGTGCCACGATTGGTTCTTACAGTTATTTTATTGATCTGGGACTTAGCAAATGGTGGTGGATCCCTCCCAGTTCTTGTTTTCTCTCTCTGGCAGATTCAGGCCATCTGAGGTGGGGTGGTGTGTGTGTGTGTGTGTGTGTGTGTGTGTGTGTGTGTGTGTGTGTGTGTGTGTGTGTGTGTGTGTGTTAGGTGGACAGAAGAGGGGGTTACCTTAGTGGCCTGTTCTCCAGGCTGCCGGTCTTATTCTAGGCTGTACGGTAGCAAGAGATGGTGAGAGCAGGTGCTGAACTCTTATTGCCTCTTGGAGCAGTTTATCATTGGAAGAGTTTTGTTCTTATATCTTGCATTGTGTGTGTGTGTGTGTGTGTGTGTGTGTGTGAGAGAGAGAGAGAGAGAGAGAGAGAGACAGAGACAGAGACAGAGAGACAGAGAGACAGAGAGAGAGAGAGAGAGAGATACCTGCCCACATTCACTCTAGAGGAGGACAGAGTGGCAGTTTTTCTAGGGGCTCATATGTACAAAGAAAAAGAAAGGAAACAAAAAGGAGATTGGAAATACCATTCAGAGGGTAGAGTGTTAAGTGCCTCTAAGGGTCGTGTGTCTGCTGAGTGGCCTCTGACTTAGCTGCATAAGAATTGTTGAGCCAAAACACGTCATTTTTTAAATTTTGTTTTCAGACCTTAACATTTATGTACAAAACAGTTGTAAATCTGATCTTTCAAGCTGCCTTGCCCCTGATCTTTACAGCTGTTCCCGCTGGAAGGCTTACTCTTGACAAAGTTAAGGTGTAAGGAGCAAACGTTACCAGCACGTTTACTTTCGCTAGGATAACCTTTTCCTGTTGCTAACTTGCGTTTGGATGCCCGTGGAAGTGGGGGGGATTTGGCAGGCTGTGCTGACCTGAAGCCCTCGAGGCTGCAGGAGGGTAAGAAGAGATGGGGGGGGCATAGATGGTGGCACCCTCTTTCCCAGGCTTTATTATTAGCTCCTGCTAATAAAGCCTTTCCGTGGCTGACGCTGGTGGGTAAAATAAAACCTCACTTCAGAGAAAAAAGGGAGTCTCAGTCCCAGGACCCAGTGGCCAGTCTGCGCAGGCTGACCTTTTCTTGTAGTCAAATTACCACGTTTCCCCCGAATTACAGGCAGAAAGCAGTCAGCGAAATCTACATATGAACAGAAGGACACGACCCCTAAAGGAAGGTAAAAGAGGGCCACAGCGGCTTGCTGCTGGCTTCTTTACCATTTGCGGGGCTATTTAGAGCACAATAAAAAGCTTCAAATCTCTTTTCCAACCAGCCAGAGGAGCGCTTGATTTACCCAAGAATTGTATTGCTGGCTTTTGAAATATTCCTCTGGCTTTAAGGTACAAAGCCGCAGATCCAGCTCCATTTGTATGGCGTGGCTGCTCCAAGTGCAGCACTCTGCGCCCAGCTCTCCTCTCCCAGCTATGTGGACAAGAACCCCGAGGGTTAAGTCTGGCTGGGTTTGGGCTGGTTTCTGGGGGCAAGGCTGGGACACCCCAGGACAGCCTGGTCCCTGGTTTCTGCTCCGGAGCTGGCAAAAGCTCCAGGGAGCAATGTCGGCGAGCTGCGCCGCACTGCTGTGGCTGCCGGGACAGGCTACGTACACCATCCGTTAGATTTGACGCCGTGTGTATTCTAAGAAGCACCCTCGACTTGAAAAACTTAAATACCAACCAAGGCTGTGGGCAACCAACAAACCAGATTATCACAGTCTTTCCCTGATAACGGTCTTGTTAAACTCCGCCAGCAGCAAAGCAGTTTCTTCTCTGCATCTCGTTGGAGAATTATCAAAACAGCCAATGTTTGGGACATCCTTCCAATTGTTATTAAGCTTTTTTCTAGGAAAAAGCTTGAGAATAAATACCTTAAAAAGACTATTCTAGAAGTATAGATGTTTTCCGTACTTAGTCTTCCTCTCGAGAAATACAGATTTTTTCTTATACCCTTTCAACAAATGTTTTCTCAAAATAGAGGCATGGGTTCGCATCCTCAGAACATATTGGGGAGGCTTTTAGGAAACAGCACATAGAGCACGCAGCCTTTTTGTTATGTTTTCTTGAGTTTTTAGAAAACTGAAATGACCTTTTAAAGAAATAACTCGGGCAGTAATTCGTTCTGTTATTGCTTCCGGAGATAGAAAATAGATCCTGTTTGTTTAAACTGGAATTGCATAATGAAAATGTAAAATAGGCAATTAAATACTCGTGGAAGAGGGAATTAAAGACAAACATTGAGTGAAAATAACATTAAGCAGACTGTTTACCAGTCTATGTGCCCCTGAGTCTTGCAAGTGTAGGCTGAGTTTGGGAGACCTAGCAAAAACAGTTACTGTGTGGAAACCAGGGAAACCAATGATCTTCCCTTTCAGCTTATGCTTCTCCTAAGGAGGCTTGCTCCTGTGGGTAGAAACTGCTGCTTCAAGTTTTACTGTTTTGGACCCACTTGAGAAGTTGTTCCGTGTGCACTGACCTCTGACAACGCCTCTTTTCTCCCTAAGGAAAGAGGAGCCGGGGCGTTTTGCTTTCATTTCATTTTGCCACTTGCTTTTAACATATTTGTTGTTACTGGGTTTCAAACTAGAAGTTATTTAAGAGATTGTTTCATATTTTATTTTCCCCTTGCATTTATTGGTTTACCAAAAATTAGGTACTTATTATGAATCTGTAACATCTTAATCCATATTCTTCATTGGAGCAAAATACTTTTTGTAATCAAGAATTTAAAATTGATTGAATTCTATTCTGTATATTAGGTTTTAAATGGTTTATTATAAATACAGTTATGTTTTGATCTTTTTACCAATGTAAATTAAGAGGCAAAGTAGTTAGATAAAAAGAAAGTAAGACACAAATCTTTCCTGTACCAAATGTGGGTGATTTGTAGTCATGTTTGAAATTTTAATGTAATTCTCTAAGAGTTATTTTAAAATGAGCCATAAAATTCAGAAAATAAAATATATGTAAGCTATCCAATATTTCATGAACTAAATAGGAATGGACATCTAGGAATCAAACTAACAAGAACTTCTTGGAATTTTACAGGGGAGAGTGTTACTCAACAAAATACTTAGGAGTTTACTAAAATTTTAGAAGAGACTGTAGGAAATGTTATATGAAGCCATTGAAATCTATTTCCCAGACACTATATTTTTAAATAATAGAAGAGCCCATTTTTCACTTCCTGATTTAAATAGTATTCAGGTGGCTGGAAACAGGGTGGGAAGCAAGTGCTCACATAACCACATGACTGTTGTCTTTTGACTTTTGCATAGCCAGCACGAGTGGGGCAGGTAGCAAGGAGGATGATATGATTTGGGAATCTTGACGAGAAAAAAGGGATTTATTTTCTTTCCTTAAGCATTAGATAGTATGCGTTCCTGAAAGTGGATTACACTGAGAAAAACACACTCTTGCCAGAGACTTTAGCTTATCACTATGGAATATTGCAAATGACTTGTTCTTATAGCAACTTAAAAATAATTATAAAACGATAGTAGTACATGCATAAAAGCGTTCCACTTGCTTTATAGAAGTGATTTGTTTTATGGGGCACCGTAGTTTATTAAAACTTGTGTGCTTTTTCCTAGTTTAATGATGCCAAACATCCAAATAGTATTTGCTGTGCTAAGTATCAGTGGAAGATACAGATTTTTTTTTTAACGTGGTGAGCAGATTTGTTCAACTTAGTTTTTGAAACATACTTCAACTGTTATGCTTTGGACTGATAAATAACTACCATAGATTGCACAGATATTAACACTTAAGTGTAGAAATAATCATTGATCTATTTGTCTTCACAAAGAATGGTTCTTTTCTGTAATTTGTATCCTGTTTTTATGTTTCATGGTTTAGATGTTGAAATATTTGTAGCAGACACACTGAAAGGGGAAAATTTATCCAAGAAAGCCAAGGAAAAGAGAGAATCTCTCATTAAGAAGATAAAAGATGTAAAATCTGTGTAAGTTGCTTGCCTTTTATTACTAATTTCTTACTCAGAAATAGCTCTGTAATTAATGTTTATTATGGAGTTAAATTTTATGTGCTGATTTATTAATGTTAAGTATTTTTATAAAAGATGAAATATATTCCTGCTATAATAGTTTTAAGCAGTCATAATACCCTTTTTGTTTATAGTTATATAATTTTTCTAAGTGTGTTTATTTTGAGCTTCTGAGGACATATTTAAGGGTTTTACTATCCATCAGACCTTGAAAAAGAAAATCCTCTAAATTGTTACTGCATTAAATAATTAAATGTAATATATTAGAGATATTAAGGATATATGTTCTACTGTTAGATCTTTTTTAATCCTCTCTCTTTCATACTTAAATCTTTAAAATACATATATCATAAATTTCTAAGTCTCTTGGAATTGTCATTTTAGCACAGAAATAGTGTTTTCTCTAGATGTATATTTATAATGTAGATTTTGGATTTGAATTATTGTCATTAATTAGACCTTGCTTTGATTTTTCAGCCGCATTTAAATGTGGTTTTTTTTTTTTCAGCTATCTTCAGGAATTTCAAGACAAAGGTAAATCTCAAATATGAAATAATTTTCTTTGTGGAGATTTTCAGTAGGAAAATATAGCATTCTGAAATTTTATAATTGGAATAAAAAATTTAATTTCCATACTATATGGTAGACCTTCAAGATGAGAGTGCTGGCTCCCCCTGCTGAGAGGAATATTAAGAAGTATATCTAGAATCCTGTGCATTTTGCAGTCTTAGGTTTTGTGTTTGTTAGTGGGAGCAATCTAAATGCAGGCGTGTGCCTGCAGCTGTTGCATACAGAGTCAAGTATGTACCTGCAGTTATTGCATACAGAGTCAGGCGTGTACCTGCAGTTATTGCATACAGAGTCAGGCATGTGCTTGCAGTTATTGCATACAGAGTCAGGCGTGTACCTGCAGTTATTGCATACAGAGTCAGGCGTGTACCTGCAGTTATTGCATACAGAGTCAGGCGTGTACCTGCAGTTATTGCATACAGAGTCAGGCGTGTGCTTGCAGTTATTGCATACAGAGTCAGGCGTGTGCTTGCAGTTATTGCATACAGAGTCAGGCGTGTACCTGCAGTTATTGCATACAGAGTCAGGTATATATCTGCAGTTGTTACACACACAGTCAGGCGTGTACCTGCAGTTATTGCATACAGACTCAGGTACATACCGGTGGTTATTGTATACAGAGTCAGGCGTGTACCTGCAGTTATTGCATACAGAGTCAGGTATATACCGGTGGTTATTGTATACAGAGTCAGGCGTGTATCTGCAATTGTTGCATACAGAGTTAGGCAAGTACCTGTGGTTGTTGCATACAGAGTCAGGTATATACCTGCAGTTGTTGCATACAGAGTCAGGCGTGTGCGTGCAGTTATTGCATACAGAGTCAGGCATGTACCTGCAGTTGTTATACACAGAGTCAGGCGTGTACCTGCAATTGTTACATACAGAGTCAGGCGTGTGCCTGCAGTTATTGCATACAGAGTCAGGTATATACCAGCGGTTATTGTATACAGAGTCAGGTGTGTGCCTGCAGTTGTTGCATACAGAGTCAGGCGTGTGCCTGCAGTTGTTGCATACAAAGTCAGGCGTGTGCCTGCAGTTGCATATGCAGTCAGGCTTGTACCTGCATTTGTTGAATACACAGAATCATGTATACCCATGGTTGTTGCACACACAGTCAGGCATGTACCTGCAGTTATTGCATACAGAGTACTTAGATGAAGCCGAGGTGGGTTGTCAGCCATTGCTGTGCCACATCACAGAGTAGTTTTATGGGGGTGTAGGTGGACCTTGGCGGGGTCATCACGATGCATGCTTTTGTGGCACAGGAGATGGGACACAGGATTTACACATGCCAGAGGGCACTTTACTACTGAGCTATGTCCCTAGCCCTCAGGCCATGTTTTTAAAGGATATGTACAAATAGTTACGTATTTTATTTGATAGCATGAATAATATGTTTTCAAATGCTGGTTTTTGTTTTTATTTTGGTTATTTTCTCTTGATAAATGTGCACTTTAGAAGTTTTTAAGAGATGGGAATTTGGTTTCATTGTTTTTGAAATACATGGGCATGCAGGTGAGGTGACAGTTCTCTCTAGATCTGAAAGACTGTTGGTTGGAAGGCACCGGAAGTTCCAGGTACTTCATAGTTTCAGTTATTTGTGAGGACCTGCATAGTGCCTTTATTTCCACAGTGCTAGCTCACAGGCCATGACCCTTAGCTTGTGGATATCAGCATGAAGATTATTGTGAGGTCTGCTGATCTAAGTGTGGGCAAGAAGACACTGGCACCTCCTTACGGGTTCCCAGTAATGGTTCCTATTTGAGCTGCCTGTCAGTGAGAGGACAGCCACAGCTCCAGGACACCAAGCTCTTAGTCCCACACACCCAGTCAACTGCCAAGAAGTCATAGTTTCTATGACATTCGCTTGTCAGGATCCATGTAGTCCAAATGGACCAGAGGAGGATATGCCATACTGAGATGTTTTAAACATGATAAAAGATAAGAGTATGAAAATGTCTCTTACTTTCGAGTACTTACGGTTTTGTGCTACAAGGACTCTTAAACTGCATTTACTTAGGTAAATACAAAAAAATGAGTTTATACATTTTGATCATGATTTTTAATACAATGCATTATTTGTGAAGAAATAATAGCTACAAGTTTTTTGTTGAAAAATAATTTGTTCTTATTTTATGTGTATTGGTGTTTTGCCTGCATGCGTGTCTGTGTGAAGGTGTCAGATCTTGGAGTTACAGACAGTTGTGAGCTGCCATGTGGGTGCTGGGAATTGAACCTTGGTCCTTTGGAAGACCAGTCAGTGCTCTTAACTGCTGAGCCATCTCTCCAGCCCCAAGATACCAGATCTTACCTCTGCTTAAAAGGTGTATTTTGCTGCACTGATTATTTATTGAGCTCTCATTGTAGCTTAATTATTTGTGCATTAAAAAATTTAAGCTAAGAAGGCATGATAATGAGAAGCCATTGTATAATTGCATGTCATTCAGTAATAGTGTACGGGCGTTCCTTTTGGGATTCTATTTTAGAACTTGTTCAGGTGTGTGGATATTAAAATTACATTACTGAGACACATTCTTTGTCTCCAAAGAGAAAGGAAGTTTATATAGTATTTGATAGAAATTGAAAAGTGAACCTAGAATAAGAGTTCAAATAATGTGGAATTCAGAGATTTCCCCATAATCATTTTCCTCTGAATAAGTCATTTGCAGCTCAGTCCTGCTGTATTGAGTTAACTAATCACCAAGAGTGCCTGCATGTAGTGAACCTGTGGACAAATTAGATATGGACCTTGGAGAAATATGAGAAGCTGAGTAATTTTATGCCATCACACCCTCACAATATGTTCAGCTTTGTTCTAAAAGGGAAGGACGTAGACTTAATAGTTGCAAAGTGGTTACCCAGTGTGCATCATCTTTAAAAGATCTCTGCGTTGAAAGAGCTCAGGTCTAGGTTGTTTTGGTGCTGCTTTCCTGCTTCCAGTTTCCCCTGGGCATCTGGGGCATTTTCCTGTGTTTTTAAGCCCGCCCCCTTCTTCTCGTCTCTGTCTCATTGCTACCTATAGTGAAGGGAGCAGAAACAGGTTTCACCTTTGTACTTCTGTTTTACATCCTTTGTTAAGTCAGTGATAGGTTAATTTTAATATCATTATTATGAGAAAGAGGTTCAGGGAGAGAGTTCTTCACATGAATAAATTGAGATTTACTCAATACAATTATTCATTTCTGTAATGATCACTGGTATTTGTTTCCATCTTACGGTCCCTCTTCATTGCTTCCCCTACATTGTAAAGAATCTCCCATCTTGGGATTTACTAAAGCAGAGTTTGCAGGTTGAAGTATTTAGTCTTTAAAATTAGTTGAATTGATTTGCTAGTTGCACTTTTAGGTTGTATAGTTCTTAGAAGATTTCCTTTGGTATTCCTACATTTTATGAGAATAACTTGCTTTACTGCAGTGACTTTTAAATGTTGAGGCTTACTGCTAAACTTTTCCATGATTTGTGTTTGTTTCCAAAGGAAGATATTGTTCTAAAATTTCCCTTCTCATTTATTTGATTTTGAAGGTTCTCCTTATATAATTGAGCATAGATTCCCCATTAGATAGATCTCTCAGGTTGTTAACTTTAGAATAATTATCAGTTGTTTATCTAAGTGCCTTAATTTTTGTTATGAAATATTTGAATCTAGGCAGAAATATTTGAATCATAGTTTGCTTGGTATGATCCCTGCTATTCAATAGAAACATTGCCTGTTTATCTGGAATAAAAAGGTCCTTACAGTTGTAGAACTCTTGAGCAAGACAGATAACTAATGCTAGTTTCTTAGTTACAGTATGTCTTGATACTATCAAGTGTTCTCCTGAATCCTAACCTTGTAGATTCAAGGTCTCTACACATGGGGATTATGTTATATGTTTACAATTTTTTCTTGTGTCAGGGTCTCTCTTTTGAGCCCAGGCTAGCCTCTAGCTCAGCCTTGCCTTTGCCTCACAAGAGCTGGGATCACAGATGTACACTACCATACCCATAACCTATAATTATTTTTAATTTTTTTCCATCACGGGTCTCTTAAAGTGACTTGAATAGTTATTTTTGCACATTGCTATTTTGTAAAGACTATTAGTAATTGAGCATTAACTAGAATTTTCTAATACGTATTAGGTCCATGACAAATAGTTATGCTCTAGTTAAATCTTTACCTTGCATTAGTCTCAGTAATGATTTAGGCATTACTTCCTTTATGGGTTTACTGGAATAAGATAATGTAACACATAGTAGATGTTTAGTAAGTACTGCCCAGTGTGTATTCTCGAGTGTAACTTTGTCAAGAGGATTGAAGTTAATCTTGATTCAGAAGTTCAGTTTTGAAAAAAGTCTTTAGAAATGTTTAAATTATCAAAAGAAGTAGATATTAGATGGAACACCATTTCAAGAGAATGTTTTTCAGTTTTGTAATTATTAGTGTCTAGCTTCTTTCTCTCCCTGTGCTGGGCTTACTAGGCATGTACTTCCCTCAGAGCTGCAAGCGCTGCCATCATCTCGTCTTTAAACGCGGTTGTTTTAGATGCCACAGCCACAGCGCTCTCACTTTTCCTTCTAAGTGTGAAAAGATTTAATAGATTTTGCCCTCAAGTCTCTATCAGTACTGTTAAATATGCTCAGACTGATTTAGAAAGTGATGCCCTTGGTCTTCTCATTTGTATTATCTAAGTTTGTAAATGGACCACTTCCTAAAAGTAGCAAGACCGTTAGTAGTTTGTCCTATGGAGTTGTCAGCATAGTGGAAGAGTCAGTCTTTGGGTTTAATTTCCTTTCCTTTCCCCTTCCTAACATAGTATATTTTCAATTGGAAGCTAACTCCAAAATGTAATCCGAGCAAATTAAACTCGAGGAGTTCCACCCCGCCTCCCTCCTCATGCGTGTACAGTGTGTTAGGAGCATGTTTGAGATAATGGGGCCTGTAATGGTAGACGCCTATTTCCAAGATAGTCGCGGGAAAATGATGGCCTTACTTAGAATCTCTGCCTCGTTTTGGTGTGAGTTATATTTATTATTTGCTAGCTGTAAGTTGGCCTTCTAAGAATGAGAGGAAAAATCTTACTTGTGTCATTCAGTGGCGTAAAAACTGAAATTCCCTTAAGAAATTTTTAGAAAGTAAATGCACAGTTCTATATGTTTAAGTGTATATAACTACATGAGAAGTCAGATTGGTTGAATGAACTGATAGTTAGAAATGAATTTGTTTTCACTTGGAATTATTTCTCTAAATTTTGTCCTTGATGCTCTTTATGAGGGAACAGTTATTCTCTAAACTGTATTTTAGTTGTAATTCCCTTTAAGTTAACAGCTATACATATTTATGGAGTACAAATGGTATTTCAATATGTATATAAAATTGGCTCTAAATTTTAGATATATTTGGCTGATTATCTGATTATGTTTAAAATAGGGGTGTATTTGACAAAATAAGCGATAAATTGGGCAGAATGCCTTCAGTGGCAGTAGAGATCATGACTGTGCAGTAGCTGTGGGCTGCATCTGTAGGCATTTAAGGAAATGGTAATTGATTATAAACCATGTGAAAAGGGATGGCTAGCAGTATTATAAATTTCAGAGTAGTTATCAGGGACCTATGCTGCTGTGGTACAATTAAGCCTTGAAGTTGCTACTAAAACGCAGGGAAGGGAAGCCTTGGATCATTGTCTTTTAGATGGTTAACTTTGTATCGTTAATTAAACTTTTGAAAGTTGTAGGATAAATCAAATGCTTTTCTAGGGAAACAAGAAACAGTATTAATGAGCAACAACCCCATAATTATCCTTGTGAGTACATAACAGGGACACATTCATGTCTTTTCTTTGCGCAATAACTTTTACAAAGAAGTATTTTTAAACTGATCATTAATTTTATGACCACAGAAATGAGATGCAAAATTTATGCTGTTGTCATTGGCACAGGCTCAAGGCACCATGGACATTATGTGTGCTTGTAATAGAATGGCTGCCAACTAATGACTCTGCAGACATTACATTCGAGCGTGCTTTTCTTTTAGATGTCTGATTAGTCTGTAATGCTTTCAATTATGTCTGTAAATTGTATTGGATACGTTTACCTGATGCCCATTGTTGATTCGAGTTCAGTATTTTATTACATAAACACACATTGAACATTTTCCTTTTAATTTATAGAAGCCCTTACAGGTATAGCTGTAGATACTTAGCCCTGGGGAAGAAAGATGCTGTATGCTACTCAACAGCGACCCCTGTGTTCAGTTACAGAGCCTCAGAAGAGAACAGCTTTTCCCTTTATTGGATGGGGAAATGGTTGGAAAACAAAATCAGAGGAGGGTAAAAGGATGGTTTGTCAGTGCAGTAAAGCCATGCTGAAAAGTAGTGTTCTTTCAACTTAATACAGTTAAAAACGGAATGCTCCCCACACAGATACTGTATAGATTCCTGTACATATGGAGCAGTTCCTGCGAACAGAGGGTGGTGATAAGAGGTGGTATGGGTGAGGGAAGTGAACAGTCTCATAGCAGTATTTAATTTAGTTTGTCTTTGATGAATACACATATCACACTGGCTTAACTTCAATTCTTTCAGTCAATTTTGGTTCTATAAATTTCATTTTCATATATAATCTGAAAAGTGTTTTTTTTTAAACAAAGCCAGAGAGGTCTTCAACATGTCACTGACAAGTTTTTAAAGAATAAATTTTCTTACATCAAATGTTATAGCTTTTATAATCTTTATTATATATAGCATTTACATACAATAAATAGGTTGGTATATGGACCCATGTATATATTGGTCACATAGATACACATTAAAATAGATAATAGACATATCAAAAGTTAAACTATAGGGATTTAAAACTTTAAAGAAGTTTTGATTTATTTGGTCATTTCCTTATAGAATGTGAGGATTAGGCATGAGTATCTGAGTTCATTTCAATAGATTACTTAGCTTTATTGTTTTCTGTAGTTAATAGCACCTGATATACTGAACGCTAGGTTCTGGTAATGTATATGATGTATCCTGACACCTTAAACAGTCAGCAAGGTTTATTATTTTTCATTGTGTAATGTGAAGTGTCCTTAGAAAATTAATATAGCAATCCTTACTTCATTAAAAATAGGGCATAGCAACTAAAAGCAACTGAGAATTCTGTGATCTTTACTGTGTGTCCCATATACTATCATAACATGCTCAACATATTTTAGTAGCATTTCATGAGGCTCCTTTTTATGTTTGTAATCAGTACTGTCTTCATAAGAGAGATATTTTTATGTTGTGGAGAGTACTTTGAACATTCCCAGAAAGATGATCTCTGAGGAGTTGGTAGCATCTATATGTACTTCATGGAATTTTACCTGGGAAAGAGATGTTGCCATAGTTAGTGTATCAGTGACAGACTTGGTAAAGAAGATGAGACAGCCATCTGTATTCTGCTATCTCAGAGGGATGTCACCATCTTCATGTTTTTGAGGATAAGGATGATGGTTGCTCATGAAATAGCACAATCATAAGAAAATAGAAATTAACATTTCGTTCGTAAACTATGTAGACAATGTTGCCTTGAAAGGGGCAACTTCTATTCAGAATGTTCAGGAAAATAGGAGGCAGCCATCAGACTGATGTTCTAGGATGCACACACACATCCCATAGGATGGATGCCAGAGGATACACACATCCTTCTGGCAAAATTTTCTTATCTGTTAACAGATAATTTCAGTTGTTAACTAATAGCATACTAGTAAGCATATGTTTTTATGTGTTGTTGAATTTGTAAGAAAAATGAGTATGTATAACTGGGCTTAGCAAACAGCTAATTAATTTTTTAAAAAAGTAGTAATAAAATACTTTTTAGCCAAGTACACGGGGAAAAATTCAACATAATTTTGGTAATTAAATATGTAAAGCAAGCAGATAAACAAACCCCTACAAACCAATCTAGAATTTGGGAATCAAATAGGAAACAGGCTGCCACATGAAAACAGTGGCTTATGTGCCACTGCGTGAAAATGGAAAGGGTTTATAGATTATTGTGTTTGAATTTAGAGGGATTATAAGAGTCTTAAGGCATTTTCCCCTTAATGAATTCCCACTCTTGGAAATGTGACAGTTTTTAATCTAATATAATCCTGTGGTGACTTTTAATGAAAACAGTGTTCATGTGGCTTTACATAGTCAATTTCTCATTATAATTTTTCAAATTATTGAGGAAGTAAAGGGGATTACTTGAATTTTTTTCTCTGTTGTGCTTTCTGCTTTTCAGTTTTTGTTAGACTACCGTGTCTTGTTTAATCTTTTTTTTTCCCCTGTTTTTTGAACTTGTAGAATGGGACTGGATCTTTTTGGGTCTCAAGTAAGTGTTTGTCTGCTAACCTTTAAACATACTTACTAAGTCATCTATATTATGATTTGTATAAAATAAAGTCAGACCTGGGTTTTACATAGTTCAAAAATATTTTGTCTGTTTTTTTCCTGTTTCAGTGACTAAATTTAATGGTAAATTTGGCTTCTTCTGACAGGGTACCATTATTTTCAATGGGCCAGTCATAAAAGGCATTTCTCTGATTCATTTACAGGTGATGCTGATGAGGGAGATGAATATGATGATCCTTTTGCCGGGCCTCCAGACACTATTTCCTTAGCCTCAGAACGCTACGATAAAGATGACGATGGCCCCTCTGATGGTATGTGATGCTCTACCATAGAATATACTTCTTGGCACTGTCATACAAAACTGCTGCTTGCAGAGGGAGTGGGCTTATCAGAAAGTACAGGCCAGGGGTACCTCAACTTTAAGAGAACCTTTCCAGGAATGGAAGAGCTCTCCCTAGTGGTCCTAAGAAGGTTACTTAAGTGTAAGTACTTCTTTTTCTTTTTTAAAGGAGATTCTTATTACTAGAATTTTTAGGCAAGTGCTGGTATTATTATCTTAGTAACAGTTTGTTGGTTAATTTAATATTATCAGATTCTTGCTTAATATTTGATTGTGTTCCTTAATGATTTTTTGTATTATTTATTATATAAATAATGAAAAAGATATTTGGTATATTTTTTCTCAAAACTCCATGCAAAATGAATTCATAAAATATTAAATCAATTATTTCTACATTGCTTTCTCATATTGTGACAGTTTTTTCTTATCAAATGCCTTTTACTACACATTTTGTTTTTCTGATTACCACTTAAAGTTGCCCCATATTATGCATTAATAGTTTGGTATATGGTATTAATCGAATTAATAATAGAGTTGATTGTTTATATTTTAGCAATTTAAAAAATCTATGGACTATGTCAGAATTATGAATCTTAATTTTAGGATACAGAGAGTGCCTCCTTTTTGATAGTCAGTCAAGTGAATCTGCACTCTGGAAACCCCGTACGAGTGATCTATAGTTATAAGTTAGGAATGCATACCAGTGCATTAGCTATGCATATTAATTTGTGCCACTCAGAGTTTCACATAGACATAGAAATGAAGGATGCCTTTTGCCACCATATGATGATCAAACTGTGCAGTTCTGTCTCTAAGCACAATTGCTGAATGAAAATGCGCTTCCTGCATCAGAACACTCCACATTCTATGTTATCCAGATCATTCCCTTTGGAAACATAAATTGCTTTTATGAGGTATAAAATTATGTCTATTGCAGAACAGGGATAAGTCAAGTGCATGCATAAGTGATAAACATTCTAACCACCGACTCAGAACAAAACAATCTTTTTTTATATCCAGAACTTTGTCCAATGTGTAGCAGTGATAATCGGATCTATTTTCTGTTAACTTTTACATTTAATTTCTGCTTTAAAAGGGAGGAGTGAATTTTAGAAAAGTGAATTGTTGTTAAATCACAGAATACTCCTGTGATTGTTGTTTTCTTTCTTAAGAATAAATAATTTGGGGGCTCGTAAGATGGCCCAGCACAAAAAGGTGCTTGCCACTACACCTAAAGACCTGAGTTCCATCCCCAGGACTTACATGGTTGAAACAGAAAACCAGTTCTCACAGGTTTGTCTCTGACCTCCTCCTAAGTATGGTGTTACATGCATGCACATCCCATCAATAAATAAATGTAAACCAAATTTTAAAAATTTTCATGTGTTCTCAGATGCAAAATATGGAAGAAATGTATTGGTATGAAAAACTTGTTAAAAGATATTTAATAGCATGTTTATGTCTAGCACCAGTTTTTTTTTTGGTTAAATATCTGTGCTTATTTATTAGTGCTTAAGTAATTCTTAAAGAGATGAGACATTCTACTTTTATTATGAATCATTTTGGTATATTAGTAATGGGATTGTAGCAGCTTTGCATTTTCTTGGAACATGGTAGGTTAATTTTCAGACAGTCACTGGACATTTACTCCACTATATCATCTCATTAGTGTGGTTCTTTTTTGCAGCTTAGATTTTGTCTGTGTTCTCTTTGATTTGTAGAGTATGATTTCCTTTACTATGATCAGTCTAATGATGTGCTAATTACAAAAAATGCATTTCACAATAACTATAACTAGTTAAGCCTTTGCCAAGTCAGGTTGTTATTTTGTCCTTTTGACTTTTACCTTATGGTAGGCACTAACAGTATCTGAATGTTGATGGATTATAAACTCTAAGCATGATAATGTATTTTTCATAGAGTTAATGTAATTTCCAAGGTATTGTAAAGGTCAAACCTGCACATCTCTGTGAATTCTAAGTCTGCCTTCCCCTTTAATATTTCTTTTTCTCTGTTCCTCTGGTTCAAAAGTTCACCCAGTTCCCAAATGGCCACCTAATTTTCCAGTTATTCCCTCAAGCCATATGTGTTTTGGTTTCTTTATGGTTTATTAGGTACTGTAGGAAAGTAGCATAAGTTATATCTTCTAATGAAATTCAAGCACACTTCAGTGATGCCTCGACTTGATTGCTGGTAGCAATTAAATCACAGCCATGGAGAATAACGCACAGTCCAGATACCCTATCGACACCGGAAACAAAATCAAGACCTTTAAACCCTGCCAGACATGTTCTTTCCAGCCTGCCTGCTTTGGTTGTTTTTTTTTTCCTTTTGGTTGTTGTTGTTTGGTTCCTTTTTTTTTTTTTATTGGCCAGCTGCCTGATGGATAGCAAAATCATAACTTGCTGTGTGCTAACAGGCAGAGTTCACATGTAGGTTATTGAGAGCTGATAAAGGGTTGGATGGAGTTTTGATTTTCGCATTGGACCTTGGTACACCAGATTAATGGAATTTCAATGGGAGACCAGAGAAGCCACAGCTTTGTCAGAGAAACAGATGGAGATTCTATAGTCACGTCTGCTCATTAATACTAGTTGCGTGAAAGGTGCTCTCTCCTCTATACAAACGAGTTGATATAATTGATTTTTGAGTGGTACATTGAAAAAAAATCACCTTATTGATGACTAGACTTGTAACATAAATAGTGACAGATTTTTATATAGTTTGTAACAAAAATGTACTTTGCGATCTTTTTTCTTGTCTTTCTTTGGAAACACGTTTTACTTTTATATTTTAAAAGACAAATGTATCTTGAGATCAGCAGCTAAAAATGAGGGAATGCCATGCTGGAAAAGAATAGCAGGCTATGTTTCACTTATCAATGATTGCATGGCTGCTGTCAGAGCTGCATTTTGATATGGTAACATTCAAAAGAAAGTCGTTTCTTTTTATTAGCTTCATGTCTTTCTTTTTCTGGAAGATTGAAGATACAAGTTAATGATTGTTCTGGTATCGTTATAGGCCACTCTTACAAATTTTATGCTAATTCCATGGCTGGGGACATGTTGGGGTGTTAATATATACATTCAGTGATCAAATAATATTAAAGATAATTAGGCCAAAAACTTCAAAGATACCCCCTATTGAACACACAGTGCAATGTTTGTGCACTAAAGTAGTACATGTCCGGTAGTTGTTAGTCACTGTACAATGACTTGAGTTTCTGTTTTCTACATTGAGGTCATTTTCATTTACTTTCATCGTTTGTGAAAGGAGGCCTTTAGCCATACAGCATCGCAGCAGACCTCTGAGGTGAGGTGAAAGAGCTCACTAGGCTGGAAGACATATATTGGCTCTGCCTGTCAATGATAGGTCGAAGGATCCCCATAGACATTTGTTACAAATCTGAGTCAGGGCAAGACATAATCACTTCATGGACAAGAATCTGGACCCTCTAGGGTGAGAATGTAGGAGAGCTAACGTGAAATGGAAGCAGAGAAGAGTCATTGCGTGTATCTTCCTAATTAGAATTCCCAGTAAGATAGGTTATGGAGAGCTCAGCACACTGGCAAAGCCATGCACTCATATGCACTAATGTTTGTCTAGGAAGGGAGGGAATGGGACCCATTCCTTAGGGCTTGAAGATTTAGAAAAAGGCTCAGCTTTTTTGATCATAATTTATGACACCAAAAAATGTTTTCTTCTTTTTTTTCATATATCGCCCCTTAAGAAACTCCAGTATGTAAAATTTGGGTTTACAAAGCATGCATACTACTTGTTCCAAAAGACTACTTAACAACTGATGGTCTGGGCCAGTAAGATGGCTCAGTGGTGAAGGTGCTTGCTGCCAAGCCTGACATCTGAGTTTGGTCCTAGGTGGAAGGAGATAACTGATCAATGTAAGTTGTTCTCTGACTTCCTAACAGATGCTGTGGCACATGAACACACACACACACACACACACACACACACACACACACACACACACACACACACACACACACAAACTCTCAAGATGGTAAAAAGAAAGTCATTTTTTAAAGTTTTTATGCTATTTAATGGGAACACATATCAAACTAAAACAAAGTGAGTGAATGATCATAGAAAAATAGGTTAAGTAAGAAAGACAGCAAAGTTAGAAAGCTCAGCGTTATAAAAATCCATTTTTAATTCAACAAATAAGCAGTCATTTGCACTATGCATGAAGAAAGGAACATACTTGGATAAGACAGTGAAGGATTCAAAGATGAATAAAATAAAGTTCTTATTTTCAAAAAATATATAATTGAGATGGGAAGAGATGATAATTACCTAAAGTAATATCATTACCAATCCAGATTAAGGAAGAATTCAGAAACAGTGAACACTGTTTGTTAGCAATATTCCATTGATTTGATCTGTACCAAGGCAAATACTTGCTTCCATTGATTTTGCCTTCTAATTTGTTGACTGACTTAGTCATTCATTTCAGTATCATGGCAGATAAACCCAAGTATAAACTTAATGCCTGTATAGGAAGGTCTGCATTTAAGTGAGTTTCTTGGGGTCTTGAAGTTTGCTGGTGACAGTGGGAAGGGGCAGTGAAAAGAACATTTGTAGTGTAAGTTGGGAAACGGGTTTCATACTCAAGACGATCCCCAGGTCACTTGGCTGCTTGGGGCTCTCTTTTCTGGTTGTGTGACAAAGTGCTTAGAGCAAGAACTTGCCACAGGCGTCCCTGGAGCTCCAGATGCTGTGTCCACATTGCAGAATTAGTGACTGGTAGTAGCAGTGGGATGCTTTGCCTGGGGAAGGGCTGTGTGGGTAATAACTCTAGGTGAGGTTGAAGAGGAAGCAGTGGTGGAGATCCTAAGGTAGGCAGTGGCTTGCTGGGAGAGCTAAATGGGCAGTTAAAGAGTTTGCCTTTGATTTGGAGGTCATCAAGAGAACCCAGAAGTAATCTGTTGATATGAATGCAAATACCAAGGATGT